GGCAGGGCCTGCGTCAGCCCCGGGCCGGACACCGCCGGCGCAGGGAAGGGTTTGTCCCGGGCAGAGCGGGAGGAAGGCCCGGGCCGGGAGCGCTGCCAGCACCGCCCGCACCTGCGTCACGGGACGGGCTCCGGCTCCACACCTGACCGGCACAAAGACGCTTTTATTCACCCAGAAACAAGGACGTCCGAAAGTCCCGTAAGCGCAGGCATGGAGGAGGTGGCCCACTCGGCACCCCCGGCCTTCGAAACGGCTCCGAATCGGCACCGGCCTCACAGTGTGCCCAAACGCAGCTCCTGGCTGTACCAAATGGAGGGAAATGACACAGAGTCACTGTCTCTGCCAAGCTGGGAGGGACCCACAGGGCACGGAGCTCCTGGCCATACAGCACCATACCCCAAAATCCCACCCTGGGCCTGAGGCGCTGCCCGAACGCTCCTGGAGCTCGGGACGTTCCTGTTGTGAGCTGGAAAGGTGCGATGGAGCCAAAGCTTGGCCTCTCCCTGCTCCGGGAAGCCTCCTTGTGAGCATGGATTCAAAAAAGAGCTCTTGGAGTTTTCCAGGCTGGAAATGAGCCTTGGGATGACCCAGCTGTGCCGCACATCATTGCAAGGCAGTGTTCACTTGCTGCTGCAATGCACAGAAATCACAGCTATGTTCTAAGACATCTATAAAAAAATACCTTTGAAAAGGTACTGCTACAAAATGCATTTCCAAAGTGCACAGGAAAAATAGTTGTTCTCTACCATTCTGGTATTTTTTATAATGTATTTTATAACATGTATTTTATATTATGTATTATCACATATGACCTAAACATGATGATATAAAGTATATACCAAGTATGATATATCAAATCAATATATTACCGACAGAGGGACAGCCATGGGAGGTTTAGCAAAGGTCAAGCACCTCTGAAGGGAGTGGAATTCCTTCCCTCCAATGCCATCTGATGGATGTACATAAAGGGGGGTCCAGCATCTCTGCAAAACAAGTTTAATTTTGTTCTCTGTAACCATCAAGGCCAAGGAAAAAATAAAAAAAAAGCCCTTTTGTCCCTGGGTTTTGGAGAATGAGTGCGTGTTAAAAAGGCAATATTCATTCCCATCAGAGAGGAAATGCCACTGGAATCAGCGCAGTGAAGTGAAATGTCAAATAAGTGAGCAGATTAATGAGGGGAAAAGTCAAAATAGAATGACAGAATCCCAGAATTGTTAATGTTGCAAAAGGCCTCCCAGACCTGTGCCCAACCCCACCTTGTCACCAGCCCAGAGCACTGAGTGCCACCTCCAGTGGACACCTCCATGGGTGAGGACTCCAAACCTCCCTGGGCAGCCCCTTCCAGTGCCTGACCACCCTCTCCAGGAAGAAATTCCTCCTGAGTTTATTCCATATAATATTCCATATTGCCAGCACCTGCCCTCAGCTGAGCATGGAGCACCCCTGGCAGCTCTACACAAACTCAGCCCCATCTACCCCCAAAAATCCCTGTTCAAACAATGTTAGCACTCCTATTTAACAAGGGCAAGAACAGAGGAGTAATTCCTCGTTTCCCATGAAATATCCCGTAGGTAACAGGCACAACCTTCTCCTGGAGCTGAGTCACCCCCTGAACCCACCCGTGGCCCACAGTGGCTGAGGGTCCTCACCCAGAGCCTCCTCCTCCTCCCCTGCTCCCTTCATGGCATTTTTAGCCATTTCACAGCACTTTTAGGCATTTTTCCCTTCTTTTTCCAAGAAATCATTAGCTGCTCCTATCCTTTTTTCCCAGAAAAATGGTATTTTGGAGCCAGATCGGATGGTGATTGGGGTGAAGGCCTTCATCCCATCCTGTTCAAGACCTTCACAGTGTATAAACGCTTCTCTATCCATTTATAAAGTTTCTATATCCAGTTTATAAAACTTCCAATTAAAACTATACAATTATCCAGTTGCATAAAAAAGCTATTTTTTTCACATTAAAACCTCCATTTTACCTACTTTTTTTTTTTTTTTTTACCTTTTAATGTCTCACCTACTCAGGAAGCAATGCAAAACCAAAGTAAGAGTTTCTCTTTTTATTTTTTTTTATTAAGACAATCCCACAGCTGGAAAATGAAACATCCTAGATTACATCAGTGACTTCAAAAAAACTCTAGAAAAAAATCTTTACAAATTTACATTTGTACAATACAAAAAACTAACAGCTCATTGCATATAAATATTACATTTGGTCTGCCAACATGTGGCATCAAAATCCCTGAAGTATTCATTAAAGGGACCTGAGATAGCAGATGTGAAGATATGGGCATAAATATCACCTGAAAAAAAATAATATAGAAAGCAGACATAATTCTAATAGTTTTGTGCATTTTTGGAGTATTTTAAATCCAGAACACGACCTGGAGAGCCTAAATCATGTGAATTTTGCTCCGACATCAAGTGGTATTTCTACATGAAATCTGCTCTAATGACTCATGGAGGAATGAAGAGCCTGAATTAATATTTCTACAGATAAATAATCCTCAGACACTGAGTTCTGAACACACCCAAACAGCCACCACTCTGAGGAAGAATTTTAGGAAGAGAAACGGCGGATTTGGATTTTACCTGCGAATATTCCAGCAGGATTTCCCCCCCCCCCCCCCAAACAGCTTCTCTCAGACCCAAAACCCAGGAAGATCTGCAGTGCTTGCCAATGAAAACCCCCAAACTGAAGAATTGCTCCTGATTTCCCACTGCTGGAATTATTTCCCAACTATTTACACATTTGCCAGCTCCCCAGCACGGCTGCAGTTACTACCAGGAGCAGTAACTCCAAGTGCTTGGTTTGCCTTGGAAGTCTCCCAGACTCGGATCAGGTATCCACATCCACGCACAAAAATGTATTTCAGCACCATTTTTAGAACACTAGAGTTAAGGCTGTGACAGCAATTCCCACTGGAAATCAAAATTTTTCAGGGATTCGTAGCACAGTTCTGTGAGTTCGCTGTGGGCTGAACACGAAGTAGTAAAAATGTACAAGCTTCCAACAGGTCCTTGCATTTCTAAGACTAAAGAAAGATGAGTTTTTAGACTAAATTTTGCAGGCTGTTACTTACTGTACATAAAGGAGATTTTTTACCATGTGTAAACCTCGGATATATTGAAGAGTTGAAAAGTCTGTCGCTCATGCGCAGGGATTTGCTATAATACACATTGTAAGAACACAACAACAGCTCCCTACCTATTAAATATTGAGTTAGCCTTGGAGGGTTAACTACTCCTTCAGGAAATCATCAGCATTTTATAAAACTCTGCAGGATGGTTTTAAATAAAAAGATAAAATTAAGACATGTAAACACACAAAGACGCTTTTAACCCATAAAATCCATGATAGGACGCTCCAGATCAGGACACAACATCCCTAAACTTGTAACTGTTCACTTTTCCCTGGTGCTCACCACTCAAAGATGGAATAAATCAAGTTTTTATCAAAAATTAATGATTTAAATTGATTTTCTCATGTTAAAATTCTGTGATTTGGAGCACAGAGACATTCCCGAGACACCCAGGAGCAGCTTTTCCAAATGCTTGGCAAGGGTCATCTTGGTTTTGGGAGTCAAGAAAGCCTCCAAATATTTTATATTTTAAAATTAATTTAAAAACTCTCTGCCACACCCCTAGTGCCAGCTCTCTTCCATGCTCTCTGAACCACTCAGTCCTTCTGCTTCCCCACAGGAGGAGCAGCTGAAATGGACATTGAGGAAAACATTCCAGGAAAATGAAACTACGCAAAAAGGACGCAGAATTTGAAACAGCTAAAAATCCTCCATGAATTATTTCTCCACAATTATTTTTAGTTTTTGTGTCTGCAGGGTGGGGGTGGCTGGGATTAGAAGGTGGCCTCTGCTTGGCTGATGGAGAAAGGAGTGATGGAAAGAGGGAGGAGGGATAAAACTGCCCAAATCCATCCAAGTTCAAGCACCATCAGAAAGGTTTCAATTAAACCGAACAGCCTGGCAGGCCAGCCAAAATAATATTCATCACGATATCCAAAGTTTCCAAGAGAATAAAAAAATAGCCCATAAAATGAAACTACAGGAGAGAGGTGGGGCATGGCAAGGAGGAAAATAAAAGGTGATGGAGAAAATAAAAAACAGGTTAAGTTTAAGCTGAATCATGGAATTATTAAGGTTGGAAAAGGCTCCAAGATTATCAAGCCCAACCTTCAAACAAATCCCACCACGGCCACTGAACCACCAAGGGCCACAAGTGCTCAGTTCCCGGATGGTGACTCTGCCGCCTCCCTGGGCAGCCTCTTCCAATGCCTGACCACTCTTTCCATGAAAAAACTTCCCTTCATCCAAGACAACAGCACGTTCTACTGCCAAATAAGCTTTGTCATCCCTGCCCTGGTCTGGAGAGAAAGGGACAGTGCCTTGGGGCTGGGAGAAGCTGAGAGTGAAGACACCCAAGATTTCAGCCCTGTCTCTGGAGGATGGAGTGTGTGGGCCTTTCCCAAGGTGTCCCCAAGGGCCCCGAGGTGCCCCAGCAGCTTGGGATTGGGATCTGCCAGCGGGATGGGACATCTCAAGGGAACACAGGCACCAGTGCCCAAACACCTACAGGAACTGAGGAGCCCCTGGCCTGCCTGCTCGTCCTCAGGAATCCCATTCAAAATCAGACCTTAAATCCCATTCCTTAGGCAAAGTCTGGAGTTTTTTGTTGAGAGTGCAAGGAAAGACAGCACATTCGACTCTGCAGCCTGCCCGGAGCTCGACAGGGTCAGGAGCAGGGAGACTTTTGGATGGTTTAAATCACTTTAAATCCTGCTTCTGCTGCACCTGGGGGGCTCATCCTAAGTTTATCACACCCGTAAGTGGCTCCTGATAGGATTTGGGATTTGAGAGCATCCAAGTTCCTATGAAAGTGTAATTATTCCACAGAACTATGAGAAATCAATTGCCCAACTCAGAGAAAGAATCCAGACACAAATCCAAGCAAAAAGAACAGCTCTAAACCCAAGTTATTTGTCATGCTTATAAAAGGTTCACATGCACCAAAAAAAAAAAAAAAAATAAAAAGCTTTTTTTTTCAATTTTTACACTAAATTCTGCAGTCCCAGCACCCCCTGCTCTAGCTCATAGTCATGGGGCACGGTAATACTTACGCCACAGCAAAGTGATGCTTCATTGGTATCTTCACAGTACAGAGAAAAGATACAGTTAAGAACATATTTAATCTTAATCTAATTGCTGCTAAAATACACCAACTTATAAAATTATTTCTCTTGGAACCCCTGTGGTTTCTCTCTCCCCGACCCCTACACAAAATAAATAAGGAATAAGTGGATTTTCGGCCAGTCAGAAATAGAGGAAAAAAGCATTTCTTTTGCATTTCAAGCTTTTCAGGCTTTAGGACAGAACCCATAGTGTTTACATTAGCTCACAGGACTGATCTAAGGGATATGATTCCAACTATGGACTGATGCATACATGCTATTCCTGGTTACCATATGTAAAAAGACCAATCAGTCAAACAAATAATACATTTCTTATAAATATAAATGCGTGTATATATACAGATATATGAGAGAGATGATAGGACAGGTGTTTATAGTTTAAAGCCCAATGCAGAACTAGGAGAGCCTCTGCACTTGGTTTTTTCCCCACCCCCCCTCCCATCAAAATCAAATCAAGTCCAGCAATGGATTACGTCTGATTCCAAACATTCCTTACAAAATTAAAAGTGTAGTTTTTGTAATGTACCATAAACTCATATTAATGAGCAATTTAGGATATACTCTCCTCCATCACAAAACTAAACCTCTGCTTTTATTTTCAAGTCATTTTTGCATCTAACTAGGATTTTTTTTTGGAAAACGAGATAAAATAGCTAGTGCTTAATATAGAAAGTCAAAAATTAAATTCCTTCTGCATCTGAGAATATACACGGGTCACTCTTTGCTGCCTGAGGTTTTCCAGAATTATTGACCAAGCTGTGCACAGAAGAACTTCAGGATACTGGATGAAAGCTTAAAAAAACCCCTAAAAACCTTGCAAAACTCCACTGGAACTTTGTAGTCTATTCTGACTTGCTCTTCTCTGTAACCTGACTCTGAACTGTCAGACAACAGGAGGAAATTGGAATCCCACATCTATTCCAGCCAGAGCCCAGGAAGGAAGGAAGAGGCCGCTCACCTCCAGCTCAGCCCACGCCACCGCCGAGGTCACCGAGGAGCCAGAGCAGGGATCTCCTCACCAACTGCACTACCACTGCCAGAGGATTTCAAGTCAACATTTCCCAGGACAACAAGAGCACAGTGCAACAGGAATTCTCTTCTGGAAGCTTGAGACACAAGAGTCAGTGCTGGGGGGCAACAGCTCCCTCAGCACCTCCGAGGGGCCAGCGGGCCCAAACCACATTTCCATGGAGCATGGGGCAGTGGGGGCCAGGCAGCCCCTCTGCACAACCAAACCCCAAACCTGCCCCAAACATCTGCTGCTGAGAACTCTGAGAGCCACTGCATTTGTTTTCATGATGGCAACACAAGGAAGATAAAGCTACTCACAACTTCCACCCCTCTATGCTCCTTCTCGCCTCTTCTTCACCACGCTCTGAATAACAGCATCTATTTTCTTTTCAGTTTCCAGTAGTTGTAAATAAGAGGTAGCTGAGCTACTATTAAAAATCATGCTTTGAAGAGGAGGAACCTTTCAAATGCTGAAGTCACCCCTTTAGCTGCACAATCTCGATTAATACTATAAAAATATGAGAGGACAAAAAGAAAATAGATGCAAGTAACTTTTGCATTTGGCACCTTTTGTCTAGATATTCATACTTCTCAAGTATTCTCTTTTTAATAAAGTTAATGCACACATAGGACACACCACATCAAAGGTTTGCTACATATTTACAAGGCACCAACCCTTTGTCACTGTTTTTACACAAATAAAGAACCGATAGAAAGCACATCAGGACCCCCAAAACTGTAGTATGGGCATACTTCAGTTCAGCACAATTCCATCAACGTTTGGCCTGGGAAGATTAAAATAATCCAGATCCTTCTTACAATATAGAAACTGTAAACATTTTATAGCTGCCTTTAGGATTGGTGTATTGTGCAAAAGTTATAATTATTACTGTGTCTAAGGATTTATGGCAGAAACCACATAAAAACTCTGTAAGAAGGTGCTATTTCTATAATACAAAAACAAAATGAGGGAGAGAAGTCATAAGCGTGACTCGAAAATGTCATGTTCTTACTGAGAAGCTGGAAGCCTCTGTAATGTGATGAACTCGTAGTGTGTGGGGAAGAATTTCTGTAATTTAAGGCCTAATGACTAAGGCTTGTTTTGACCAATGAAGTGTGGAGATCTGAAGCTTTAAAACAAACACAAACTGACAGGATGGAAAAGCACCACTGTGAAACGTGAGTGGAGTCCCCGCACAACTTGCTTGGTAGAATTTCTGGTAAAATCCCTGCAGTAGAAGGCCATTGAAGTTCTTTTAAAATTGTTCCAAAGTTTTCCATCTGTCAATAATTCCATCCCATGAGATGGCTGACCCTGGCTTTTTCTGTCATTTTCCGCACCCTGCCTGACCTGGAAGTACCAAGGTTCAAAGGATCCTCGGTGTGCACAAAATTGTCATTGTCGGAGTCATCGTTGTACAGGACAGTTCTCCTGCCCTCGTTCCTGGTTTTGATCCGAGGGGGTCGGCTGAATCTCCCTCCAAACACGTTCTCCCCAAACTGTCCCCCAAAGAGGTTTTCAAACTCATCGTCGGCGAGCCGGGCTCGTTTCGCTCTGGTGGCTCCTCGTGAGGCCCCTCGGCCTCCTCGGCCTCTCCTTCCCCCTCGGCCGCCGCCTCTTCCTCTGCCGCAGCCTCTTCCACCTCTGCCCCCTCTTCCCCCTCTGCTCCACCTGCCCCACCTGCCCCATCTGCCCCTCCTCCCTGTCCCTCGGCCCTGCCAATTCCGTTTGCCCCCAGCGAGTTTCCGTTTGATTTTCCGTTTGGGTTTTTTGGATTGCACAACTTTGCTGTAGTCGTGGTCGCCGTCGATGTAATCCTGGTCTGTTCTGGAGGTTGATTCCGAGTCGGAATCAGAGCCACTTCTGCTTTCAGAGCTGGAGCTGGATCCCGATTCCCCACTTTCTGATGAAGACAAACCAGATTTTTCCTTTAATTCTCTCTTCTTCTTTTCCTCTTCCTCCGCCTCCTCCAGGTGCTCATCCTCTTCTGAGGCGCTCAGCAGCTTCCTCTTGACACCTGCCCGGGGTTCTCTGCCATCCCCATTGGTGAGTGGCCCATCAGGAGAGTGATCTAAGCAAACATAAAATAACCCCATCAGCATCACACCACAACCAAACAGGACACAAAAAGTGGGATTTGCCTCAGTTGCCTTTGGGATTCTCCTCAGCTGCCTCTGAGGTGTGCTCAGGGATGATCCACTGGGAGCTCCTCACCCTTTATGTGCTGTGGACACAAGCAGGTGCTCTAAAGGGAAAATCTAAACTCTATCAAAGTAAACAGAGTTTTTATCTGGAAACAATGACTGCAAACTCTCCTGAGCAGGGGTTCAGTGAAGATCCAGGCAAAAAAAGGAGCCTAGAGTGACCAGGTTGGACACAAACATCTAAAACTCAGTCAGGTGAATCCTACCTGGGGTGCCAAGGCAGGAAAACTCTTAAAATCTGTTTCAAAATTGTACATACACAAAAATAACAATCTGCAAGCAGAATTTATTCCCTATCAAATGCATGTTCTCCGAAGAATATTAATGTTCTCCAGGGAATATTAATGGAAAGCGTAACTCAAGAGAATCAATGACCCAAGAAAGCTCCCTGGGATTGCTGAACACCTTAAATGAAAATGAAATAAAGTATCTTGCTGGCTTGGGACCCAAAACCCTCCATGTTTTCAGGGTTATGAATCTGACATAAATATCTTCTTTAAGACAGGACAGGAAAAGCTCACCTGCAGCATCCAGCACCGCTACAGCACAGCAGTGTGGACTTGGGAAAGGCTCCAGGGTTCAGGAAACACCCATGTAGTGCCCACCTTGGTGGAAACTCTGAGTAACTCATCCCAGAGATTACCACACCTGAACTGTCTCCCTTCTATTCACAACTACTTTGTTTTGCATGTGAGAAAAATACTTAAACGTTTTTGAAAACTTTTTTTATCTTTGGTTTCATCTTGATTAATAAAAGGTGAAGGTTTCGGGGTGGGGATTCTCTTGGTTTGCTTTCTGTGAATCTTGAAGCAACTGTAGGAATTTAAGAGCAATCAAGTTTTTCATCTGGAGAGATTTTAAAGGACTTCACTAAAGTGCATATGGAATAATCTGCATTCCACACCTCAGACAAGATACCACAGAGTAAAGGAGTATACTAAATTCAATTTTTTTTGGTATGGTTTAGGAATACATACAATGCTACACTGAGGCAATAACTCCATAAACATCAGACAGAAGCAAGATCTTTCCTCACTAGTGAAACCAGTCAGTCAAAGCACAGAATCTTATAATTTCTCACCTTGTTTCACTGGTGTAGATTTGCTCCTGACTGGTCTGCTTTTCCCTGGATCTATGGCATTTCCACTCCGGCTCTGTGCATTTGAGCCTGACGAAGATGGCTGACCCTCCAGCTCTTCACCAGTGGCTGAACCTGGAGGTTCTTCTGCTGTATCTGAAACTTCAGACAGGACACCACTAAGGGACAGGGTGATTTTTATGCTCTGTTTACAGGGCTGTGTCTGGGGAGGTTCTGTGTGTCCTGAGTTAACAGCTCAAGTCAGGGTAATCTCACCAAGCTGCTCTGCAGCCATGGAAAGACAGATTCCTCCTGAGTGTAACTCCAAGTAGGATTAATTTCATTAATTATTCATCGCTGCTGTAGGAGAGACGCCCATAAACAGCAAGTCTAGGCTTTTGCCACTGGAATAATTCTTATTATGGCCAGACCCAGGTTCCCAATTCCCCGATCCTTACCCAGAACTTCCCAACAGCTAAACTCAGCTAAAACAACCTACAGACAACACATTTCCAGGACCTTGCTCCTTCAACGGGCAGGTTTTGCATGTGTCTCATGAGGACAAGACTCAACCTGCACAGACAAGCTGCTGTAAGAGAAAGGCTGGATTTTCCTCACCATGAGATGAGACTGAAGAGTTAGTCCTGGTCAGGGGCAGTGAGGTATTTTGGTTGGGTTTAGGTTGAATCTTCATTTGCTTCTGTTTCCCTTTTGGGCTGCAAACACAGAATACCCCGAAGAGAGAAATCTGTTATCACCGAAGACTCAAATATAAAATTGATTTCTCCTGTAGTGATCTCTTTTTCTAAGTGTGATAACACTAAAAATAGTTACACCATGGTACTGTTTGCTTAAGGTGTAAGAGTTTACAGGGACAAGATTTTATCTCCCCTTTTAAAACCAAGTCTATTTACTTAGATAATCCATCAGATGAAGGCAGGGAAGTGTTACACAACACTTTCTTCAACAGTTAAAAAATGAAGAGACAGCTGATCTTTCATTTCCTCCACAGGGAACACTTGTAGCCACATCATCTTTCATTTACCAGAATTACAAACTACAAACCGAGCATGAATTTATCTCCCAAAAAAGCACCTTCATCAGGAAATGAGCAACACTGCTGCTGGTTATTCCCAAAGCACATCAACCCCTGTGCTCTGGAATGGCACTGCCAGCCAGGCTCACTATCCCTGTTTTACCTGGATGCTCTGCTGGTTGAGGGGGAACTGCTGCTGCTCCTCAGACGTTTCCGGTACCGAGGCCTTTTCCTCTTCTGACATTGCATTGCTGATTTGTACTCAGAGATGATGTTTTTCATGTGATTCTCAAATAAGGCAGAGAGTCGAAGGGTCATGCTGTAAATCTGCAGTGGGGAAAAATGGTCAGGCTTATTAGAGCTGAATAACTTGAAGATCAACCAAAAAACCATCACAGAGATGTTCAGACTTTGTAGCACAAAGAAAACATTCACAGTGATGTTCCACTATGAGGTTCTTTACAGATTATTTCCTTCCATGGGCCATGTGTATTCTTGCAACAGAAAGTGTTTTCATAAAAGGATTTAATAACAGTACAAAATATTTCCAGAGTTGAAGGAAAATGGATTTCTGGATTACTGGAATACAGTCCCCTTTGTCAATCTCCATGAAGCATGGAAGTGGGCCTTAAGATAATTTGAATACCAAGGGAAAAACAATTTGATTTCATGCCTCCTCACCTTTGTTTTTGCACTAAATCCCTGGTGAACTGTCCTTACACCACCCTTACAGAGCTACAGAGAAGCAACCCAAAATGTCCTCAGTCCTAATTTCTGTAAACTAGATGTCAAAATCCTTAAACCACTTTCCTGTCCTCTTTCTAGGCCTTGCTTTTGTGTAGCCTCATCCACAATATGTGCAGTTATCAAGTTTATAACCTTGTTTACAGGGATAAATTAATGAAAAAAAATAAAAGCAACTGATGACCAGTTTTCTGTTACAAATATTGCAAGGAACAGCTGCAAAAGTGACCATCGTCCCAGATGAAAATGGATGTTAAAAGTCATCTGGGAGAACAGAACAAAGCAAGTTTATAACCACAGAATTGGTGTATCCTGGTTATTTTTATTACACCAAGTAGTGCTTTGCTTTTCAGACTTCATTTCATGTGTCTTATTCATGTAGGGCCAAAATCTTTGTTAAAAAACAAACATTAAAATTTATTACTTACACGAGACTTTTTATTAGGAGTGTAAGCTTTAGAGTTGCAGAATATTAAACGAATATCTTTGTAGAATTCCAAGGGACTGGTGTAGTTTCCTGCTTCCAAGGTTTCTTTCACAGTGCTGAAGTCCATGGGAGTGTCTACAATATCTCGATAATCCTGTAAGAACACACAAGAGGAAAATCAAAGCTCTCAAATCCCACAGCAGTAGCATCACCTCAGTGTTCAACCAGTGGCTCAAGTCATTCTTTTACTTGGAGAATTGTTGCAGATAATTCCCTGAAAACATCAGCTCATCAAGGGAGAGGACAGAGCCATGCCCAGCATGGATGTTCTGCCAAAGGAGGAACAATTCTGGATGTGGAAGCTGCACTTACAGGGTAAGAGAAGAGATCAACAGGCTGCCTGAAAGGCTCTGAGTCCTCTCGTTCATAAATCAGGTTTAAGAGCTGCTGGCACTGCTCCTTCCAAGCATCAGCACTGGCTTTCATGGGCTGCCTCTTCACTCTTCGTCTCACCTGCAGGGAAACAGGTATTGCTGATGGTATCAGAATGTTCACATTGTTCTTTTGAAGTTCCTACTGATTTCCCAGAATTCTGATTCAAAGCATTCCCCAATTAAAAACAGAAATTCAGGAAGATTAAAGCAGAGCTGATGGCACAGCAAGACGCAAATTAGACAAATTTGTTTAATTTGCCTTTTCTGGTCATATATAACACTCAAACCCATAAGAAGCTGCAGTATTTCAACTCCAGCCTTGCTGTATTTATCAGCTGCACAGAAATTTGACTGCTAGAGACATATTTTTAAAATCAAATTTTAAAGAAAAAATGACCAAAGCAGAAATTTTACTCACTCGTCTCTTCCCAGAGGAAGTGCCTGGAGCGTCTGAATCCACATCTACTTCTGCCACCTAAAGGCAAAGGGAATGATCACACACAGGCAGGTCTGGGTAACCCTCAGCCACAGAAAAAGGGTTAAACACCAGCCAACGACAACCACAGGACACTTGGCAACAGGAACTACGGCACATTTCAAACTGCACTGAAGGGGAGAAGGTGAGCGAGCATCTTCCAGGAAAGGGAAGTAGCTCAAGGCAGTGATATCTACCCTGGATTCTACCTGATGTTTCACTCCAGGGATAAACTGATGGGAAATGACAGAATTACATAAGGAAATCAGCTTTTCTGCCTCGCTGACAATGGATAGCTGCTGCCCTTCTGACTGAATAACAGCTCCACTTCCAGTTCCCCTCATTACTCATCCCTCCAACAAAACATCGTGTACTGAGCGAAGATTAAAGACAGGCAGTTCCAAGAAGCATTTTTACTTCAGGGAGCTTATTGTTCCAGGTGAGCCTAAACAGCCTCATCTCCAAATCTCAGTGCAATTATCCATAAAATAAAGACTCAACAAAAATCAAGGTTTCTTTCATGTGCTGAATTTTAAAAGGGAAGAAAATTATCTTACCTCCTCTTCCTCATCAGTACTGCTCAGGTCTTCTGCTTTCACCTTGTTGTAGATTTCCAATATATCAGTACAGCTCTGATCTCTGCAGGACAATGACAAAAACCAAGGTACACAATGAAGGATCCCAGGAATTGGAGCTGTGGGGTCTGTGAGGTCCAAACTCACCCAATAAAGCGGAGCAGGACATCTGTCACAATTTTGGCTGCTTTGACTATGGGGCTGTCTGGCTCGTTGAAAGTCCTGGCATTGTGTTCAATATATCTCACCTCCCACATCAGGGCAGAGATTCTCCTGAGAAATACACAAAATTAAAGGAATGGGATGGAGAGGAAAGTGTATGTTATTTTTATTCCACGTTCAGAAGGACTCTTTGGTAAAAAACGGAGTTGGGAATTCAGATCAAGCAGAAACAGGTGGTCCTCAGAAGGGAAAGTAAGAGCAGGACATTATTTATTCCCAAATTAACTGGAAAAACTGAGATTTCCAGTCTCCAGCATTATTCAGTCCCCTTCTGGCAACTGCAATACAAGCAAAGCCCCTGCTCAAAGGCGGCAGGGGTAAAAACAAAGCAAACACGCTCTGCCTCCAACACAGAGCCACGTTCAGGGTGTTAAACCAACACTCCAGATCCAGCTACGGCAGCTTTTGCCTTAACAACATGGCCAGGAGAATTTATTATTCAGGAAGACTCACTTTGCCCAAGGCCAATCTGATCTTATGTAGTTGCTGAAGTGACTTTAAACAGCACTCAGCTCCACATAACAACAAATGCAATACATGTCAGCTACAAAACCAAACTCACCTATAAAACCTGTTTTCAAGCCGCCTTCTGATGGTGGTGAGGTCAGTTGGATAAGCAACGACAGTGCAATACATGGGATAGGCACTAAGGTCCACTGGAACAGCAAAGGGATTAGAAATGTCTGCAAGATAAAAGACCACACTCATTTAGATGCCTCCTGGGGATGTTATACTGAGATTCCTTTTCATGGTTTCTGAGGTTTCTGTCGAAGAATTCAGCAAAAGCAACACAGATCTAAAGCTGAGAATGTCATCATCCACAGGGCAGGGTTCCTCCTCTTGTACCATCTATTCCTACTCTTGAAAAAGCACTTTTTGTTGAAGTATCCCATCTGAGATTTGTGTGCCAGCAGCCAATCTGACTGAAAGGAACGTGGCATTTGCATTTACAACAGGAATACTACAACACATCATCAAGAAGAACACAGATATGTCCTGGGTGTAAACAGAGGCGGAATTTAAAGCACAGTGTGCTATTAAATGGTTACAAACCAATTACAAAGAATTTGGAGGTGGGGGCATTTAGTGAGGATTTGCTGTGTGGTTTTGAGGGGTTTAATTATATGTTTTGCTCTTTCACCTTTAGATATGACCCACTGGGAAGCCCCACTGCAAGAAATGAAGCGAAGCCCCACTGCAAGAAATGAAGCGAAGCCCCAAACTGAAATGTAAAATTTAAAAGGCTCTTTTCAGTAATTTAGTTGAGTACATTTCAAATACTCCACACAAGTCCCAGCACTCCATCCAATCTACTCTTCCGTCCTGTGCCACCTCCCTGATACTGTTAATCCTTCCCCCTTTTCTCTCCAAACATACCGAGGGAAAGAAGCTGCTCGATCCCTCGGATTACTCGTTCACATTCTTCATCTCTGGAATGGGCCCCCCATTCTCCTTCCTGGGGTTTGTAGAGAAGAGCTGTCAGCTCCTCTGGGGTCACAGGAACTCCAGCACCGACCTCCTCCGGATATGCAGCTGGAGAGGAACAATTCCAGAGGGTAAATCCAGAGCCCCAGAGCTGTTTGCTTTGTGCAGGGACAGGAACCCAACACACACTTACTTCCTTCTGGGATTGGTTCCATGTCCCATGGACTCATCCTCTCTCTTTCATTGTTGTCCCAGCTATTAAAAAAATCATTCAAATGCACAAGTTAGAGCTGAATATATAAACACACCTTTTCTTTACCAGATTTGACTTAAAAGGTCACTCCAGTTAGAAATAAGACATTCCAACTCCCTGTTTTCCTCTTGTATCTCCTATACAGTCACTGCACTGCTGTTTATACCAGAAGTGTTGCTTTAGGAATAAATTCAATAAAAAAGTAAATAAATTTTATAAATATTTATAACATTTAAATAAATATATAAAATATTCAAATTAAAGTAATATTCTAACATAAATAAATAGCAAGTAACAAATAAGAAGTACAATACGTGAAATTAAATAAGGAAATAAAGTGTCTGGGTATGTATTTAAATGGAAAAAGGGTTTCTAGTTCTTGAGGTTCTTGATCCTATTTTTGAAGTTCTCTGAGTTGTGTAGGAGCCCCAGGACACAGAAATACTCACTGGACACTATAACACTGGAAGGAACTATCAGGATATTCTGCCTGGAAAGGCTGCTGACTCTCCACAGTCCCAAACCACCAGGCATCATCAATAATACTGCGAAATCTATCCCCTGGAAGGGCAAACATTGCATTCAGAAAAAGAACAACATCAAGAATTGCTATGTATTTCCTTCTAGAGAATCAACTCCCTCTTTTGTGAATATCCTACTTCCATCCTTACATTTTTCACCACAGGAGTTGAGCCCTTGCCCTGAGGGCAGGACTTGCCCATCTCTGGGAATTACTTGCAGCTGCCTCACGCCTCAGATCCCAACAGATCAGGAGGTTCTCCTGCTCTCACTGTCCTTGGAACAGTTTCTCTCTTTTCTTTTCCTTTTTTTTTTTTTTTTTTTTTCTACAGGAATTGCAGCAAACATCAAATAAAAATTTTCAATAATCTTTACAATATCGTGTGTGTATAGTCCTTTACATCATGTAATAAAGACACTATAACCCATTAAACAGCTGCAGAAATAGTGCAAAACACATGGAATGGAAAAAAAACCACTCACCTATTTGCCAGTTCCTTTCTTTGGCTTCATTATAAAACTGATGCAGCACAAGGAAATCAATAACATCTGGCATATCGTGATACCTTCAGGATATAAGTACAAAAAAAGTTAGTATTACCCAGAAATACAGTTCAAGATGAACTAGAGTCCACAAGTTCCATGCATTTGGGATAACCATTACTGCCATCATCATCATCCTTGCACTGGAAATAAGAAAGGAGGAAGGGGAAGCCTCTACTCTGCAAGGAAAGCTCTTGAAGAATGTCATCAGCATTCCAGTGACTTACTTTATGGAAAAGGATTCTCCTGTCATTTTGCCGGTGATTGGATCCAGGAATGCAAGCTTCAAGCAGCAGAGTGTGGGAGGCCCAACTTCATATTTAATTCCTACAGTCTTCACAAATTCTTGTTCCTAGTTAGCAAGAAGCATGGAACAGGATTATTTTACCTTGTCAACAATAAAAATATCCATTTTAAAGTGAAACTTATTAATAAAACCCAAATATGTTTCCATTCTGCAGCACATGTAATTTCACCCATTAATTTTTCTTTTCCAAATACTAAAATCAATCACTGTCACCTCAAAGAGAAAAATGAAGAAGCTCATTCCCTTGGCAGGTTTGTGAACAGGATTTCTACATATTATTTAAGAAGTTTCTAGGAACAAACCCAGTTTTAATCACACCAGAGGTTCTCCCTGACCTACCCCAGGGCCCCTCACTCTTGCACAGGGGGGAAAAAGGAAATTCTTCCTCTGAAAACGGAAATTCCACAATAGCCTTTATGTTCATGTCCTGTCAAAGCCCATCCTAAGTGAACAGCTATTTCCTTTTCCTCACAAACTGATCATGCCTTGGAAAATTACAGCTGGAATCACTGAATATCTGGGACTGCTAACTGGGTGTTTTTCCAGTTAAGCAATTATTTTCATTAATAGAACCACTGGCAGGGTTAAGTGAATACGAGCACATATATGGGCTCTTCTCTTGATATGAAATCCGAGGAAAGCAGGGAAAAATACGGCAACACTGTGGATTAAGTCTTTGGAGATCATTCAAAGCAAGATCCAGTGTTTGAGAGAACTCCTGCACACATTTAGGTGTTTACACCATGATTTCTTATTTCTTACCACAGCATTAAAAACAAGAAACAGAACCCAAATGCTCAGGTCACTGTAGAGTGGTGAGACAACCACAAACAGCTCTGCAGTGTTGGGTTCTGAATGAATTCAGTGTTCAAGCAAAAATAATTAGTGTTGAAAGAGATCCCTGAGAATCAAGTCCAAAACCAGTGAAGCGATGTAAAGAATTTGTGTTAATAAAAACTAACTTTAATATTTACAATTAAAACTTCAATATTAACATTTTAAAGCGATGCTTTCTTTACATTTTTCATGCTGGTTTTTCATGTCAGTTTAACATTACAGAGACATTCCGCTCTTTGAAGTTATCTCTTGAACTTACCCTGAGTTCCATTTTGTTCCATGGTTGTTTTTGCATGTTAATACTGTAAATTTTGGCTTTCCTCACTGCCCTCACATAAGCTTCATGACCTTGCCTAAAGTAGATGATCTAAAAAGAAAAAAAAAAGAAAAAAAAAAAGAGAAAATTAAGAGAGAAAAAAAAGATCAAATGAAAAGAGAAAAGCAGAGAAAATTATTTTACTGATTCTGCTCTTTCTGTTCAGTCTATACCAGGTCTTATCCCTTTCAGAACACATTGCACTCTTACTTATTTCATCATAGAACACTCTTCTGGTTAAAAATATTTATATCAGCCCCCAAAGTGGCACCTTCTCTGTGCTTTAAAACTGGGGTCATTAAGAAATGTGCAGGTGAAGATGCACAACCAATTTTTCCCGCTAATCCCAAGTTACCTGTTCAGAAAAAGGGACACAGGACATGGATCTGTGAACAACAAACTGCCTGGGAATTAAGAAAATTATCAAAACTCGGCCTGTCCTGAGCACAATTCCCTGCAGATGTTGCTGGGTAGAACAGTCCTAAGCAAGCTGAGCTGCTGATTCCCCTGGGAATGTGGGAATTGCTGAGGGCAGTACCTCATCCCCCATCTGGGGCACGAAGGGCGAGCGGCGGGGAATGGTGTCCAGGATCCACTGTGGGGCCAGCCACTCCTCACTGGGCTCCCCTTCCAGGGACAGCAGCCCACTGGCTTTCTAAACACAGCACAGCAGGACATAACAGAGGTAAGTTACATATAGGTGTTAAATATTTGCATTAATTGAGAATGCAGTCAACACAATATTCAGCATACAGTTAATTACTATGGAAAACTCATCATGCAGCAGTTACTGCAGGTAAGATACACGGAAAAGCAAATTGTGGAGGATCATCCTTCCCAAAATCTCCACTAAATAGCAGAGAATAAGACAGATTTGTTATAAATATAATTGAAAATTAAAACCTTGATAAATCATTAAAATGCCTTAAAACTTTCATAAATCAGTAAAAAGCCCATGGCAGGGGAGTGGGCTAAGATGATCTTTAAGATCTCTCCAAACCAAACCAGCCTATGGCTCTATAATTAAGAAATAAATTGTACTTTTATAAATATTCTAAATGTCTTAAAAAAAAAAAACCAGGAAAAAGTAATCTGACCATGTCAATACAGTACAGATCCATTATAATGTTACAACAAAACCACCCTGCTGTAAACCTGACTGTGGTGAAGAGCATAAATCTGGGAGAAAAAAACAGGCATTTGTAATGAAGAACCACCTGTGGGAAACATGGAAGCAAAAAAAACAAACAATAAAATTTCTTGGTACCACTGGTACCACATTGTGATTTCTGTAATTCCTTTTTTTTTACTCTATACCTATTTGTGAAAATTTTTACTTTGAAAACAACCACTAAAACCCAAATTTATATTCATAAACTACAAAAGACACTGAGAATTACACTTGCTGACCTTTTTCCTTGGCTGTTTAAGTTTCCTTCGCTTTGGCTCCAGCCCTTTTGCTCCCTTCATATTTTCATCTTCAGAACTACTACAGATTTTCCGAGCTGCCTGCCTGGTTTGTCTCTTTGGGGGCTGCAGGTTAATCCCAGCATCTGCTGTCCAGTCTGAATAGTCACTTGATGAATCACTGTAGATAATAAAAAAGTTGTAAGAAAGAGAACAGAAAACTTAAATTTCCCTACAGTGGATTGAAAAGTCCAAACATTCAACCTGCTCCCCTGGTTCTGCTCAGGATTAGCACAGAATTTTATCATGTGAATTTAAAGAAAAACAAGTGCTCTCTGATATGTGATTTCAGTAATTCCTTTTATCAGTTTGAAACTCACATTAAAACTACACCTATGGCTGACATAAATTCTCACTGATTCACAGACTGACTTCATAAGAACTGGCAGCAAAAAAATGCATGAAACATTTGAAAAACTAGAGCACTTCCCCAAAAATCCAGTTCTGACTTCTTTAATACCAAATAATACACGTACAGGATTTATGTGGGAAACTGGCATTGATTTCTTTCAAGTAGCTCTTTAATTAAAGACAATATTTTCTTATAAAAGTTTTTTTAGAATTGTTTTTGACTTTGAAAATAAAATGAACAGAAAAAAAATCACAATACAAAATGCTTCATGATAAACTGATTAAAAATCAGTCTTCAAAATGAAGTTTGAATATCTGAATATCAACTGCACTACTTAAATCCCATAATAAACCAGTGTTACCAATTCAGAGCCCAGTGGAGGTACCTGGAACTGCTTTCACTCTGCCAGGCTGCCACAGGATCATCCATGGATGCATCACTTGTGCCAACGGTCTCATCTTCCTGTAGTGAAAACAACAGGATTCACTCTGAGGCCAAGGGTAAAATGTATCATTTTTGTTTGCAAGCAAGTTGTGTCACCTGAGGAAAGCTTTGTATTCAAGGGCTGGTTTAGCTTTAAAGAAATAAATCCAGAATTTCTTCCTATATATTAATTAATATTATACTATATCCTTATTTAGCTCCTATAGAAACAAATGTAAATTTTAATTCTATCAGAGCTATAGAATGAGTTCTTATTTAAGTGTTTGATTAATAAATTTTAGCGCCCAGGGCCCAGCTTTTTGAGCTGTTCTGTACTTTCAATGCATTTACAAAGCAACAATGTTCAGCCTCTTCCTTAAGGAGAACAAGTTATATTTATCTGGTATATTTTAAGTTCTTCCCTTGCCAAAATCAATGATTAATACCAATACTCCATCTCTTTCAACAGCAGTCTACAGATGTAGATGAAATCAAAGCACTGCAAAATGAAATCAAAGTCCTGACCCAGAATCTATGTGCTGTATGAAATCCCAAAATAGCAAGTGGTTTAACACAACCCAGTTAAATTTACTTGAAAATGTTTCAGGTTTCCAAAAATACAGGAGCTGTTTTAAGCTACTTTTGAACACTGTCCTGGCATTTAGGTAAATGATCCTTTACTCTCCAAGACCAACATGCCACAGGAACACCACAAATCCCATAGACTGAATGACCTGAGTGTTTCTTCCCGTGTGGAGAATCACAGAATACCCTAAGCTGGAAGGGACCCACAAGGATCAGAGTCCAGCCCCTGTCCCTGCACAGACACCCCAACAATCCCACCGTGTGCATCCCTGGGAGCGGCGTCCAAACCCTCCTGGAGCTCTGGCAGCCTCGGGGCTGTGCCCATTCCCTGGGGAGCCTGGGCAGTGCCAGCACCCTCTGGGGGAAGAACCTTTCCTGATCTCCAGCCTGACCCTGGCCCAGCTCCAGCCATTCCCTGGGTCCTACCCCTGTCACAACCTCTCTGGATTCCCAAGACTGCTCAAAAAATCAAGAGAGGCTCTGTGATGGCATCAGCAGCATTTTGAGGATTCTTGGATGAATTCTCTCAGGCCCCATTGATTTGTAGGGATCCAGCTGGAGCAGCAGATCCCACACAAGTTCAAGGCTGACTGGGAGTTGATTACTCTCAGTCATGGCCCTCCAGCTCAGAGCACTGGGACCCCTTTGCTCCATCATCCATGCACAAGACGGAGACAAAGGATGTGTTAAATCCCTCTGCCCTGTCCGTTTGTGAGGTGACCATCCCCATCCTGGAACGGACCAATGTTATTTTTACACTGCCTTTTGCCATGAATACATTTGAAAAACCCCTAAATTTTTACTGTCCCCCACTACAACTCCTGGCAGCTCCAGCTCCAACTAAGCTTCAGCTGCACAAACTTCCTCCCTCCAGTGGACATGCGGAATCTTAACGTGCTCTGGGATTTGGGAACGGGGAAGCTGCTGGAGGCTGCTGGGAGGCTCAGACCTCAGAGGAGCTGTCGGACTCGTGGCGTGCACAGGGGTTCTGGCTGGCTCCCTGCTGGCTGTGCTCGATGGTGGAGCGGGTCTGGTACGCGTGCTGCCGCTTCCGCTGGTTCCTGCGCAGCGATCGGCCGCCTCCCGCCTGGAATTCACTCTGCCAGGGGCACAGGAGCACAGACAGGAACAAATCAGGGAGTTACTCATGAGTTACACAGTTAAAAGGTGCCTGGTTACAGTGGTTGAGCGTTGCACCCCGGTTTGAATCTCTAAGTTTCAAATTAATTGAGCAGTAAGAAATCACTTTATAATTAGACAACATCTCTGACACACTGTGGATGTTTCAGGTGTAGATTTTTGGTTCAACAGAAATTCTACTTTATAAAGTAACAGTCTTTGGAAAGACTGCTATTTTTTTTCTTCCTCTGCATAAGATAAATTGAGCCCCTTATAAAAGTTTGCCACCCCTACTTCCCACAAGTCAAACTGAAAACCCACTATGGCTCTGCAATTTTCCTTTCCCAGCATCTTCCCACCACTGAAGCCTCAAGGATAGAGATTTACCACTATCTGGATATTATAGACAGCCAAATCACAGTTACAGAAGGAAGAAGACAGTGAGCCAGAGAAACAATTAGGACTATTGATCTTCTAAATAATTCAACAAAATTGGTTTGGGGTTTTTTGTTGGTCTTATTTTTGTTGCTCAGTGCTCAGAACTGCTTCCCACCCAGGTTGTCTCTTCCAGGGCATTAACTCACCCGTTGTAAGGTGTGAGATGGCTTTCTCTTCTTGTCAGCAGTGTATAAACTGATTTCTATTTCACCTTTGGCAGCTCGACATTCCTCCTGGACCCTAATTACACATAAGAAACACACATTATATTCATTAAATTATCATGGAATGCAACAGCCTCCTTAATATACCCATTAAAACACTTGTGCTGCTCTAAGAAACCTGTGCATAAATCCCCCAAGCAGCATCCATCCATTCGCTGCTGAATCACAAGTTTAAGAAGTAAACTTGTTCGCTGAGCAGCTGCAATTATTTTCAAATGTATTAAAATTATTTTCAAGTCTTTTTTAAATAAAACTTGAGGGAAATGTGGTATTGGAAGTACTGAAGAAAGACTGAATTGTGAAAAGAAGGAATTACCATTCTCAACTCTCCATTCTGATCTCAATATTCTAAACAACCCAAACAACCCAGCCCCAAATCCGACGCATCGCTTAAAAATCATTCCAGGAGTAC